TTTTTTTATTTATGATTGTTACGGGCTAGAATATTCATAGTGGTAAAGTAAAAGAATTTTTTGTCGTAACGTTGCATGGATATCCAGTACACAAATAGAAAACTTAAAACACAAAAATTTTTTACGTGAAAAAAACTTGAAAATGGAAAAAAATCACGAAGCCACAGCTAGTCGAAATGATTCTACTATTATTTGAACATGTTACAAAAATCGTCCCACCCTATACTTGAGGATGGTCAAATTATAGTAGTCTAAGAAGGGGATTAAACTTCGTGTCAATATTCATGAGTTTACAACGATGATTGTCAGACAGAAGTTTGAAGGTGGTAGAGCGAAAGTCTGACGACTGTCAGGCTAAACTACGGTGATGGTCTATGGATGGACGGAAGTCCAGCAATGGTCGGTGGCCGGGCGGAAGTTCAATGAAAGTCGATGGCCTGGAGAAACTTCGGCGATGCTCGATGCACGGGCAAAAATTCGACGACAATCGATAGTCGGACAAAAGTCCAACAAAGGTCCTTTGCCGGGCGAATGTTTGACAACGATCAGTAGTCGGACGGTGGTCGAGGAGTTTGGTGGTAAGAGAGCTCCTAAATTTCTCTTCCTCCCTTCTCTTTTTTATCTTGCTTGCTATTTCCTTTAGTGAAAAATGAGGGATCTATTTATAGTTTTTGGGTTTCGTTAGGTTTGTCTCATCTAGTCACTCATATTAACTATAAGCATATTGATAAGTGTAAATAATATTATATTTTATGTGTTAATTTGTTAGTGAAAGTATATTATTTTAGTTATATTTGTGTAGAAAATACCAAAAATTATCAAGTTTTCATATATGATACAGTGTCGTGGCATCGGACACAATACCACCACGACACCATCATATATGCTGCAGGAGTGCCCAAATATGGATATGGAGGTACCCAATCTTTGTTTGATAGTGTTGTAGTGTCAAAGGAGTCAGCGCGGTAAAGCACAGCCTCTATCTGCATAGCACCATGATGCCAAATTCCAACGCCACTAGATTAAGAGAGTGCCACGTGGACGTCGCATTGCTCAACCATAAGCATCATTGCAATGCTACGTACAATTATAACTGTTTAGGCCATGATATGCCAGTGAAGCGACGTATCAATTCATTAAACAATGGGTCCATGCAACAAGTGTCCATCGAAGGAAACCCTTTAACACTGTGATGTTAGTGCATTTTATGGGTGCTGCGACGTAAGTGTCTTGAGCGTCAAGGCGCATGAATTCATTTTCTATATTTTTTTTATAAACAGTCTATTTGTAAAGTTAGTAGAGGAGTTCAATAACTTATTTAATTTCAGCCTTTATAGTTCTTCTATGATTTTTTCTTATGAGTGACAGCTAAAGGAATTCAAAGAAGTATTAGATACATTCCATAGGAGTGTTTAGCTTGTGTTTGCGAAAGCAATTTTGTAAGGTCAATATGAAGTGTAGAGGAGATCATTGAACTCATCTGGTGATATCTTTTCTTTTGTACTTTTTTCTTTTGTATTATTAATGAAAATAAATTTGCTTCACTTGTTCTTCATGAGTAGCTAAAATTTATAGTTTTGAATTGAATGTGTAAATAAAATATGGAGTACTAATTGAATTCTCTTCATCAATAATTTCATTATGTTTTTAATATATCAGGTCTTCATTTAATGTATATAGTGATCATATGTATAGTTAATATCAGGTATAATATGGAGCCTATAAATAAAAGAGCAGGCACAACCAGGTATTTGGATTGATATGTGCAAGTATAAACATAATGTTTGTCATGTTTTAAATTTATAGAGATGAATTATCATGAGGGGGTTTTAATAGTGCATGCTTTACTTTTCTAAGATTCTCATATGGTATTGAGATTAGAAAGTTTAATTTGTCCTTTGTCTTTGCATGCTTAATTGAGCGGTCAGTGATGCATATGCTCTGAATAATATTAATACAAAAGAGAATCATTATGAAACATATGATATTTATATTCTATCAATCAAAAATAATTTATCTAAATAGTGTTTTATTTAATTATTTTTGAATTTAAATTAAGTGATTGAATCTCCATCAAAATTTATTTTAATTGAGTAGGATAATTTATATAGTTGAAGTAGACTTTACTAGTATTTGCAAGTAAGCATTTTTCCTCGTGGGAACGATATTTGATACCCTACTCTATCATTATATTACTTAATTCGACATATATACTTGCTACGTTAAGTGAAATTTTTATAATGTTTATATCAAAGAAAACCTAATCATTATTTAAGGATTAATAAAGGCCTAAATTATTTTTACAATTCTTTTGGTTACTCCACCGTTCCCATCAATTATTTGATGGAGAAATATATGAGGATATTATTAATAGAATTTAAGTTGGATGGTTGAAGCAGAGAAATGCAACGAGTCTGTTGGGATAGAAAAGCACACCTCAAACTTTGTGGAAAATTTTCTATGATAGTGGTGATACCTCCAATGCTTTATGACACTTAATATTAGCCATTAAAAGAGAAGTATAAAATTAAGTTAAATGTTGTAGATGAGGATGCTCAAGTAGATGATTGACTATACACATAGAGACAAAATGTGAAACGAGTATATACGTAAAAAGGTTGGAGTATCTACAATGGTAGATCAGTTTAGAGTCTCCTTAGATGGTTTGGTCACATAAAACATCGCTCTTTTAATGACCTTATTAGGAGAGTAGACATTATATCCAGCCTATATTAAGAAAGGAAGGGGTAGATCCTAAAAACTACTTAGAAAGGATTAAAAATGATTTTTTTATTAAATTTAAATGAGAACTCAACTCTTTATAGAATATAATGGAGAGCAAATATTTATGTAATCGACCCTGTAATGGGATAAAGGCTTGTTGTTGTTGTTGTTGTTTTTTAATCATAAATTTATATGAACACAAAGATTTTATGAGAATAATAATATATAGGAGGATTTACATAAATAAAATATGTCATATTTATATACTATTTATAAATATACACTAAATTTTGTTAAGTAAAAAAAAAAATAAAAAAATCTCACCCTTATTATTAACTTCCCCTAATGATTCCATTACCCACTGCTACTCTTCTTCACCAACGAAAGTTAAATCAATGGCTCGCAAGAAGTGCTCGCAACTTCCTATCTTCTTCTTCAATTCGTTGTTAAGGGTTTCAGAATTGCAAAATCTACCAGCCCCGTTGATAATCTTCATCTCCAACAACCTCATCTTTGCAAACACCATTGTTCTGTCGATACCCTTTGTCATGACTCGCTCTTTGGAGCTATTATTCTGTGCGGACACCGGACGGGAGAACAGTCCGGTTAAGCGCTGGGTACCCAGTGGTACCCAAGGGTATCGAGTGCGGGTACCGAGCTGGGTACCCAATAATAGAATGACGTGACGCATTTTTATTGGTCTCTGTACGCCCTCCTGACTCCGCACAGAATAATAAATCCACTCTTTGAGAGTGTTCGTGAGAGACCGGATTAATGGAGAGGTATAACATCTAAGGATTTAGAAGTTAAATATGTAAACGGGGTGATTTTAATAGTTTTATGCATGAAAATCCCCCTAACATCTAAAATTTAACTACAATTCACTTCAACTTCACAAGCTCTGCCAATCTTGTAACCTTCATAAATTTCCAATCCTGTGAAAGTCCCATCTTGTCATCCTCATATGCTGCCATCCAACCACTTCACTCTTCAAACTTTCGCCTTTGCCAAATCCAACAAATTTAGAGGATTAATTATTATGTGCGGTCATCAGATATTATTCGTAGACGAATGAAAACGCGCCACGCCAATTTTTATGTTGTGTACCGCTCCGTAACGGGTGATGTGGCACCTTCATTCGTCTCCAAACGGTCTGGTGACCGCACAGAATAATTCTCCACTTAGAGAGGGACTTGGTTAATGAAGCAGTGAGATGGAGTGGCACGACAATTCACCTCTTCGCCCCTTGTATCCAACAAGATCTCTTAATTTTGTTAATGGAATGTTATATAATGTAAATAATAAGATTTAGAAATTAAATATGTAAATTTTAATGATTTAGGTGCTATACATATTATTCCCCCTATTAAATATTATTATCATTTAACCATAAGTCAAACTCCAAAGAGCTAGCTTATGAACCTTTCCAAGTTTCCATCCTATCAATGCATCCAACTCGCTTTCACATTAAGACCTAAAACAACAATCGGCCCAACTACTCCAAATCAACTAATAATGTCACACATTAAATTTCTTCATATATGAGAGTTATAAAATAAGAAATTAAAAAAAAAAATTACTTTAATTTTAAAAATGTCATGTATTTTACTTGAATGCAACTTAAAAGAAATTTTTTCTAGCATGAATTATAAGAAATAATATAAAATAAATAAGTATTATTGCATAGAATATAAATTTTCAGTTATTTTTTAAAGTAATATTCAAATTTATTTGTAACTATTGAATTTATATATTTTTGCACGCCATAATTAAATATTTAACTAAAATTTTAATAAAAGCAAACAAATTTATATTGATATTTTATTGTAAATTTTTTATATTTGGATGATAATTTAAAAGAGGGAGCTATGATATTATGAAGGCAATAATTTTGCAAATATGTGCTATTCATAAAAATATGTCCTAGATTAAAAATTCATTAAAATGTCCCAAATTTGAATTTATATTAAAAATTAAAAAAACATCATCTTAATACTTGGATTCCATCAGGAAGTCAGGGTACCATTTTTATTCTATAATGTAAAATATTTTTCTAATATTTTTTATAATTCCAACTGAAATATTATATCTAAAATAGTCATTAACATACTAAGCCTCATCATTAATGTTAACATTTGCTTTTTAAAATATACAAAGAAGAGCGTATTAATTTTTTGTTTGGATGATTAAAGAGATATTTTATTATTATTTTTAAATGCATGGAGTAATTAATTTAACTATTGACAAATATATATAATAAATAATGGGAAATTATTATTCAAATTATTTTGCCATCACATATTTATCCGTTATTTGCAAATTTCGGTTAACATTTAGCTGGAAAATAACTGGAATAAATTTGATTCAAAATATCTGATTTAATTTTTGTTAAAAAGAATTTTATAGCGATTAAATTTACTTTGAGATAAATATAATATAAATTTAGATAATTAATTATATGGTACAATGATGTCAAAGCAATTCTCTTAATTATAAAATAGTACTAATTTAATCTTAATAATTATTTTTATAATACAACTAAACATTAAGAGAATTGCTAAAATAAATTCTAATTTTTAAAATAAAACATTGATCACATGCACTTAGGACATCTGATTATAATAAATGGAGTTTTAAAGGAAACTGATTTCTATTTTGAAATTCTTACATGTGATCAACAAGAAAGAAATGATAAAAGTTACACAAATCTCAAAGCAAATCGACTGCATGTATTTGAACGATCAAAATGTTTAAATCTAAGAGAGAAGAAAAACAGGAAACAACTGCATCCTAACAGAGCATGATGAGAATTTCATTCATTCATTCATAGATTTGAATAAAGGGTTGATGTATGCAGCTTTAGGTTTCGTTTAGGACAGCTTTCTCACCTCTTTTTAAAGCAATTTTTCAATAAAAATATTTTTTTTTTTAACTAAAAAACTGCTTTAAAAAACAATAAAAAAGCTATCCCAAACGTTGATTTAGAGGTATAGAAAATAAAGAACCAGAGCATTAATCCAAATCGACGACTCCGAAATTAGAGAGTAAGATTTTGAGCTGCTGGACAAAATCTGCTCCTGTTGCATACTCTGTAAGAAGCCCGACAGCAAAACCAAACATTGCCCATCTGCAGAACAATCAGATGCACATAAAGTTTGATGAAAGTGGTGACTCTTAACAAACTGAAAGCATTTCATTCCAACAAACTCAAATTAGTACATGCAGTGTCCGTCCGAACGCATTCGGATGGCAATCCGGACTGTCACCTCACCCAATACATAATATATTGGGTGTTGTAGCGCATCCGGATTTGCCCCGGATGCGTCCGGACTCTGCACGTTATAATCCCTCAAAGAAAACAGGAGGTTGAGAGGAAAAAAAACTTGAAATTATTTTCAGAGGAAGAGATCTGAAACAAAATACGGCAGAAATCACAGAATTTTGAACTATGAGCAATGAAGAAATGTTTGAATCCTCTTCCCTGCTGAGGTAAAATCATAGGAAGAATGTCTACTCTGGTGATGGATTGTTTCAAGTAGGTTCAAAGCAGTACAATAAATAGTTTAGATTGCGCAGAATTTGGCAGGATGAAGCAAATTTTTGTTTGGATGATAAGAACAATATAAGGGTTCTGGCTTATTTTGGTATGGAAATGGAATAATATGGAGTATAATTGAGGTGGTGGTTTCACTTGCTTCTCACATGGATATTACTTCGGCGTTATCACTGAGTTTGTTGGCATACAAGTGCATCTTTGGCGCACTCAATTATTTCCGCATGGTGATTGAAACTCGTAATCTCACAGTGAAATTTCCTTCCTCGAATAGCGTTGTAGATATACCTGGAAACTGATGTGGAACATCATTAGCTAAATAAGCCATTAGGACTAGCATACATTTTATTACATATTTTCTTTTAAGTTTTCTAGAATATTCTACTGCACTTATATATACTAGTTGTAAGGAAGAGAAGGCATTGATGAATATTATATCCCTTTTGGAGCTTTAAGCTGAGTTTGTTCCTTGTATTTGGAGTTCCTTCTAGCACATTGATTCTTCCGCCGATCCATTACATCGTAAACTTTCTCCAATATCGAAGACATTATTTGAATTTCGTCAAAGATGACAATGTTGCCGGAAAATAAAAATGAATAAGTATCCACTAAGAGAGAGGCCGTCAAGAAGAAACTTCGCATTCGCTCTACTAAGGTCCTAAGGTACTTTCCATTCTCAAGTCGCCTCACTGCTACGTAGTAACCTATATGCCATTGCTTGGAAATCACGCAAGATTCGTAGAGTAGATATTAATGTTGCTACTCATCAGTCGAATGTTAATGCAAGTAAACTCAAATAAGATAAAATCTACAATTAAAAGAGTAGAGGGCTCCTCAAAGGAAGCTTCATTTGAGAAATACATTACTGAGATGAGTAGATTTCAAATATGGATATAGCCAAGAAGGCAAGAAGTCTGGCAGTAAATGGAGGAAGCAATGTACACTTCAAGAAGGCCAATGAGGCATGCCCAAAAGATTCTTACCAATCACCAAATATTGACACACTGATCGACTCAATTGTGGTGTTCTCAACAGTCAACACTAAAGGCTTCGTTTGGAACAGCTTTTTTTACTGCTTCTTAAAACAGCTTTCTAGTTTAAAAATTAAAAATTTTATACTAAAAAACTGCTTAAAGAAGCAGTAAGAAAGCCATCTCAAACGAAGCCTAAGCATCTCAAACGAAGTCTAAGTTTCTCCATGTTGTCTAGGGATACTAGTTAGTAGACAAGGATGCACCTTGAAGATGAGGGGAAGGCAAGTTTCACCACAAATGAAGGAACATTTTTCTATAAAGTCATGATTTTTTATCTAAAGGATGTTGTAGACATTTATCAAAGGCTTCTTGACAAGATTTATTTCAAAGTACAGAAGGATAGAAATCAATACATGTAAATGAAAATTCTAATCAAGAGGGGAAAAAATGATGATAAGTCACTTCCGAGATATTTTCTTCACTCCGAAGATATAAATGGAAGCTCAATCATATGAAATGCTTGTTTGGAGTCTGGTCAGGCAAATTCTTAGGAGATTTGGACTTGCCAAATAAGATAAGGGTGAATTCTGCCAAAATCAAATCAATTCTAGAGATGAGGTCCCCAAGGTCATCCAAGGAATTCAAAAGCTGACCAACAAGCTCACCAGCATTAACCAATTTATCTCTCGGTTGGGGGAGAGGAATGCTCATCTCTTTAAGACTCTTAGAAAGTCCAAGCAGCCCATCAAGGAAAACAGTTGAAAGAGATCCTTTCAGCAATGGAAGGCGTATCTTACTATCAGTCTATCACTTTAATCTTTAAATGCCCGAGACATGACGGAGAGTTAGTCTTTATATTTGGGAGTGGGCACTACTATTGTTAATTCAGTTCTAGCTCATAAAGAAAAGAAGAAACAACAAAATTTTATTATTATTTATTTAAAAAAATAAAAAGAAACAACACCTTCTGTATAGAGATGTGCACTGTTTAGATAAACCAAAAACATCAAACCGAACCCATCTTATTTAGTTAGTTTAGTTTGCTTATTAAAGTAATGATTAGATTATTCATTATAATTTTAACTTTCTCTGATTTTTAGCTATGGGTAATATTTTTATTTTTTATAAAATCAATCAAACCAAAAACCAAATTATATTAATTTCTTGATAAAGATCCATACGAATATTATTTATTTCACATGTCAAATTATAAATTTTAAGAAGTATTTTTCAATATTCTTCTTAATATATATTATTTATGTTAGTTAACTAAATTACCTTTTAGTTCTTCCAAAATTGAAAATTTTGGTTTGATTTAGTTTGGATGGTCCATTTTCTCCATTTTACAACCGGAACCAATTGAATTAGCTTATTTTTAAACCAAATAACCCAGATTGACCAAATCACACCACGACCTCTGCATTATTTTAGCAAAATCAATTGATTTAGCAGAGATTAGCTTAACTACCCTACAGTTGACAAAATGACCCTTGCTCTCATGACAACAAAATGATAAAGACATATTTTCAATCCCATAAGATCAAAGTCTTGACCTATACACCTCTTTGTCAAGTGTAGCATCAACCATAACTCTCAGGAAAACTCATAAAACGGTCCATCAAGCTTAATGAATTCAAGATTGAATGTGTCCTGTACTGCTATTAAAGCTCGAGTACATTTTCATTTTTGTCATTGAATTCTCAACTTCATAAGAGGATAAACATGGAAGTATAAGCTTAAGAAGACAACATATGGACAATGCAAACAAATGGAGCATCCAACAAATCAAGCAAAGGGCAGGTGTGCGCTTAAAAGACCATATGGGATATCTATTTTCTCTTTCATGTTAAGTCTACAAATAAAATATCTAGTTTTAACATCAACATGATCATTATTCACCTTATCCTCGTTGTTTTAGGTCAACTTCATGAATCCTAATACAAAATTCCCTTGGTTCACATTGTTTGAGGTGTTAAATGTATTTTAAATAAATCTTTAACACAACTTCAATCTAGGCTATCGTGTTGTTTGTAAGTCTGGACCAAAGAGAGATCAAATTGGCCTGTTATACCAACGGTCAAATCCAATATCAACTCAAAAAACTTAAGTTTATAAGTGAGAGCCAATTATTAGTACTGTTAAACTAATATGTTTTTTTACTAATCAATGAGGGACTAAACCCAATAATCTCACAAGGATTAAAACTTTCATCCAAAGCTCCTTTCTTCCTAATTATTCAGCATCAATTTTATGTACTCTTCTTATTAATACATCTTCTAAACTCCATTGGATATGCCCAAAGATCCAAAAAAATATTTTCACAATTTTATATCTAATATGCGATACTCTCAAATTATTTTTTCTATAATCATTTATAAATTAATAATCCATAGGCATCATTCCCCCCACCCACTCACATCAAAACTCGCTTCAAACCCAAAGGAAAAAAAAAATCAACCTATGAAATTACCTCTCATTTGTGATCTCAAATTTTCCCAAGTATCTAAATAAGGTTCCTTTATTAGCCTCTTACAAAATCTTCAGCTGAAAGCAATACTGCAACTCCTTAGCCATCTTCATTCGAAAACCAACATCACCACCTGATCCACCTCCTTCACCTCACTCGACAATGCCACCGCTAACGGAACCTCTTCATATGGTGCCATTATCATTGTCAAATGAGCGGTAGATAGGGATGGGCTGAGAGAGAGAGAGAGAGAGAGTAATATGAGGAAAGGGAGGAACTATCAATCTTTTTAGAAGACTCCTTTTGAGCTCTAAACTATAAAATAAGATTTCCAGAAGCAAAATTTTGAGGGAGTGGATGAAGGAAAAGAGGAGATTTTAATTTTGATGCAAGGAATGGTGGGACCTATCAAAACTTATTGGCTCTAATTTTTCTAAAACAACAACAACATCAAGCTTTTATCCCACTACGTGGGGTCAACTACATGAATCATTTTTCTCCATTGTGTCCTATTAAAAGTCAAATTCTCATTTAAATATAATTTTTCTCCAAAAATTTTTTTTTTACTTTTTTTGGCCTTCTTTTTCCAATGGAGGTAAGTTCTATAGAGAAGAACGGGATGAATTTTGATCGAGAAGGGGGTAGCAAATGCCCAAGTTTTACATGAAGGAGATCACCAATAATGATTTTTAACTAACCAATATTGTTCCATCTGGTTGAGCAACACTTTTTAATTTTTATTTTAATAAAGCTCTTTCCAAAACTAAGCCAAAGGCTAATTTTCCGCCACCCCAACAAATGTTTAATAAAAAAGGGAATTAAAGTAGGCGCATTCTTTAAGAAAAAATACCTTTATCACAGCGGTGGTGGTTTGATAAAAGATTAACATGCCATCCAAAGATATATTTAGCAAGGAAAAATGTTGTTAAGAATATTATTAGAAATTTTTAATGGAATGTAATACAAGCGTACAAATGTTACAAGACACTTTCATCAAAGTATAACATTTTCTTTCCAAGACAACAGTTATGACAGTAGTATTAGAAAAACAAAAGGTGACAGCTCAAAAAATAACAAATGTCTTTCCATTATATCAACACCATAACTTTCATTCGTACAACTTCTTTTTCTTATGAGGTAACTCAAATAGAAAACTTCAACAATTCTATTATCCTAAACATTATCTTAAATGATCCCAAGGGCGTTTGGCAGAAAATAACATACTATCCAAACCCATTTTGTTAATGATATTTCATGCAAAACCTTGAGGAGGCTATAAAAAAGTTCTGTAGAATTTGCCAGTTAAATCTATTAAATAAAAAGATGTTAATCCTTGCTTCACAAGACAAAAACTTAAACAATTTATTTGTACAAGACAAAAGTACTGTCATGAAAAATTAGAAGAATGGTTTGCATTTTCTCTACGTATATCTATTTTAGTTTTCCTACTAAATGCCTTGAAAAACAAATCTAGCTTTATGATGAGGACATTAGAGCATGAATCGTATATCAGAGGCGTGGCCGTCGATCTATGGCAACGATCGCGTCAATGTATTTTAAGTTATTTCATGTATTTGTTTTATTATGTTATTTGTTATTTATGCAGTATTTTGTTTTTCCCGTTTTACCCCTTGCTTAAGGGAAGTCGTATGTAAGCACTAAGGGCAATGTCGTCTTTCTTATTTTGAGTCTTATGTACGAGACTATTTATAACCCCTATGTTTCTCTTTGAAAATTAATGATTGAATGATTAAAAAAAATTTGTGCTATTGCTCGAGTTCTTGAGAGATCTTGAGAGTGCTTGGAGAGAGAGCGAGATCTCTTGGAGAGGGAATTTTGGATCACCCACCAACCTTGGAGACAGCTGGGTTCGTGGTTTCTCTTATTTATCTATCTTTCTTGTCCATCGTCTCCAAGCCGCCGGCCACCATAAAACTCCCCCCTTGCCACAGGTAACTTCACTCCATTTCCACCTCATTCGACGAACCACAACCTCTTCACCCCTCACCAAAATTTCCCCTCCAATCCACCACACCGCCGGCCTCCCTCCTTCCCCTTCCCTCCAAAATACAAATCCCTACATGAATAATTGCCATAAATTAATATTCTTAATTTGGAATGATTTAAGCTTCAAATCTCAAAGCAATTTGAAGTTGAAATTTTCTTTCCTAATTTAAGAAATTTATTTTAGGAAAGTTTCCAAATTAAAGCCTATTTGAATTTCAAATTCATTTGGATTTAATTAAAACATTTCCTATTTCTTATGACCAAATTAAGAAACCCTTAATCCCTCCCATTAATTCCCCCCATGGCTAGCAATGCCACCAGCCCCCCTATAGTTTTGGATTAGGAAATTATTTCCTAAATCCCAAATTCCCCTCTTTGGAAACAATTCAATTTTCCCCACCTCCCTTTGGCCGAATTCCCCCCTAGCCCCACCTAATTAATTTATTTCCATTGGAGAACTTCTACAATTGGAAATCAATTAGCATCCTCCCTCCTTTCATGCCCCCCCCCCCTCTTCTCTCCCTTCCTTTAATTATTCTCAATCAAGAGGATAATTAGGTGTTTAAATTGTATTTTCCCTCCACCTAAACCTCCCAAAATTTCAACTTAATTTCCCAAACCCTTTTCCCTCATGGCCGGCCACTTAATCCATCTCCTTCCTTGAGGGTTTGCGAGATAAGCTCCTCCCTCTCAATAGGAGCCTTCAAGGGAAGTACCGTCTAGCATGCTCAACACTTCAACACCAGAGAAACTACTTTCTCTCTAAGTTGAACCTTCAAGAAAATTACGACAAACTTCTTCAACATCTCGACTACTTGTTTCCGAACTTTGACTAAGGTGAACTTCTCCCCCTTTTCAATTACCTTTCTAATCCTCTAATCTTGTAGGTGATGAAGAATCACAAGGAGCCGAGTTTCGCCTTATGCCTAAGCTTAGTAAACGTAGGATTTTATTTCGTCGTTGCAAAAGCTTAGTAAACATAGGATTGAGTGCACTTTCTATGCTTCTAATCTAATTGTTAGATTAGGGATTTTGTTGAAAGCTATTTACTTTGCATGTTATTGAATTTTTAAATTGTTTTGATCTTCCAAGTGCTTGGCAAGTGGTTTAGCCTAAATGTAGGCACCCCTCTCTTGTTTTCTATTGTCGTTAAGATTGCTAACAGTTTTAATCTTACTTGCTTAATTCAAGAAATCGTGCTAATCAATATTCCATCCATTTAAAAGCATTTAGTTCTACATCACTTTACCATCACCATCATCATCATTAAACTTATCCTAACTATTCAGCTTTATGAATCCTCAAACTCAATTCGTTCAGATCATATTGCTTGATGTGTAAATTTCGTTTATGCAAATCTTTCAACACAATTTCTATCGAGATTGTTATTTTGTTAGTGAGGAAAAACTAAATAGGAATTAGAATAGATCTGGCGTACCAATAGTTAAATCTATTTTTAATGCAAAAGCTTAAGTCTACAAATAAGTGTCAACTATTACTATCTCTACACTACCATATTTTTAAATTAATTGATATGAGGCCACCTCAATACTTTCGCATATCTCAACACTTGATCTAACACACCCTCCTTTTCTAATCATTCAGCATCAATTTCATGTACTCTTCCTATTAATAAATCATCTACACTCCATTGCACATGCAAAACCACCAAGTATATATTTTCACTACATTATGTGCTACTCTGATATTCTTTCTCATACAATCATTTCTAAAGTAGCAACTTATGGTTCTAATATTCACCCATCCCTATCAAACGTATAACAAATCTAGCATATATACAATAAGGGGTTATTTGGTAGAATAATTTAAGCAGGATTAAACCAAAATCTTCAATGATTTTTTAGTTAGTAAATACTATTGTGAAGTGAAATGTCATCTTGCTTACATTATGTACTATTTCCATTATTCGATAAATCATAGATAGCTGACATATGCATTAGATTTGACTGTATTTAAGGCTAGATGTATTGGGAACCTAGTTTTAACGTTTGTGGTAGAAGGAAATTAATACAGTTAGTAGAATCTGCAACTTGTTGGTTTCGTTTCTAGAACGTGAGTCCTCTTAAAAGTTAGTATAAGCTTCAAGATGAGATGTTATTAGTAGATCTACTCAGGGAATTATTGATATGTGGTTGTTTAGCCAAATTTGTTAAAAAAATTTAAAACTTGTGCTATGTCATGGCTGCTCATACTTAGCACAGCTAATCAACAAATCATTTAAACTAAAATCTTGGGAAAAAATAAGAGAAACAGTGTATCAAGATCAAAAAGTGATTTTATTAGAAAAAGATATTCAACAAAGATGGATGAGATATTTCAATAAGCTTCCAATGAAGATTGTGCGAATACGATTGACTTTAGTGGCTTTAGTACCTTAAATGAAAAATAAATATTTTTATTTTTATCATCGTATTAGTAAAACCAAAGTTAGAGAGGCCTTAAAAAAATGAAGTGTGTAAAAACGGTTGGACTTGATAATATTCTAATAGAGATGAGGAGATGCTCAGGATATGAAGAAATTTTTTGCTTACAAAACTTTTCAATATTTAAAGACAAAAAAAATGCTAGATAAGTGGAGAAGAAGTGAGTTGAATTCTAATTTTAAGAATAAAGGTGATCCACAAGAGTGTGCAAATTATAGAAAAATTAAGTTAATGTGTAACACTCTAAAACTATGGGAGAGAGTTGTTGAGCATAGGTTACGACATGATACTAAGGTCTTTCAAAATCAATTTGGATTCATGCGTAGGTCTACTATGGAAGCTATATATTTATTGAGAGGTTTGATGGAAAAGTATAGAGAGAATAAAGAGGATATACATCTAATATTTATTAATTTAGAGAAAACATATGAGAAAGTTTTAAGAGAAATGCTCTAGATAGTTTTAGAAAAGAAAGGAGTTAATAATGCTTATATTCAAGTCATTAAAGATATGTAAGTAGGAGCTGCTACTTGTGTTCAAACACAAGGTGGTTTGACCAAATATTTTCCTATTGCAATTGGATTACATCAAGGATTAGCTTTAAGTCCATATCTTTTTGTTTTAATCATGAATGTTCTTACTAGACATTTACAAGAGGATGTTCCCTAGTGTATGTTTTTTGTTGCTAATATTTTTCTTGTTGATAAGACTAGATAGGGAGTTGAAGATAAACTTGAATTATGGAGGTCAACCTTAGAGTCTAAAGGTTTTCATTTTAGTAGATCTAAAATCAAATATATGGAGTATAATTTTAATAATAATAGATCTAGTGAGGGGATTGTGACTTTGGACGATCAAGTCATTAATAAGAGTACTCATTCTAGATATTTTGGATCTATTGTTCAAAGTGAGAGTGAAGTAGATGAGGATATTATAAGTAGAATTCATGTTGGATGGTTGAAGTGTAGGAATACATCGAGCATGTTATGTAAGAGAAAAATATCCCTCAAACTTAAATGAAAAAGAATAAGAGGTGGTGAGACTTGCAATACTTTATGGCGCAGAATGTTGTCCATTAAAAGAGAAGCACAAAATTAAGTGTTATAGAGATGAGAATACTCAGGTGGATGCGAGGATTCACTCTTAGAGACATAAAGTGAAACGAGTATGTAAGTGAAATGATTTGAGTAGTTCCAGTGGCAGATAAGATTAGATAGAGTCATCTTAGATGGTTTAGACAAAACCTCAACCTTTCTATGATCCGGTTATGAGAGTAGATGTTTTGAATCAGCCTATGTTAAGAAAGTTGGAGTTAAAACTAAAAAGATTTGGTTAGAAAGTACTAGAAATGATTTTTTTATTAAATTTAAACGAGAAATCTTAACATGACACAATAGACAAAAAAAATTATGTAGCCAACCCCAGATAGTGAGATAAAAGCTTGATGTTGTTGTTGTTGTTGTTGTTTTTGTAGTGTATTAAGATTTAGTTGGATTGAAGTCAAACAGTTTTAAGATTTAACACCATCAAGATTACATGATTTGGCAAACCCTACTTGAATTAAATATTTATTGTAAACAAACAGCCCCAAACTAAACTAGCATTAATCCTTGATAAATATTAACATCAAAACCCACCCAAAAACCAAAAGGACAAACAACCAATCCATGAAATTACCTTCCATTCGCGATCTCATTCTTCCCCAAGAATCCAAAGAACGGGCCTTGATTAGCCTCTTCCAACTTCTTCTGCCGAAAGTAATCCTGCAGCTCCTTCGCCATCCTCCTCTGGAACTCCAACGTCACCACTCCCTTCACCTCCCCCGCTGAAGGCGCGGCAACCGGCTTTGCCGGAGGAGCGGGTGATAGGGATGGAGGGGGAGAGAGAGACGGAGCAGTACTAATAGGAGGAGAGAGTGAAGGAGCCGTCGGTCTTCTCAAAGGGCCTTCTGCTTTGGAACTCCGAACTGTAAAATAGGGTATCGGGGAGCAAATTTTTAAGGTGTGGGGTGAAGGAGAAGGAGAGATTTTGATTTTGATGCAAGGAATGGTGGAAGCTATCGACATTTCTGAGCTCTGATTTTCCTAAAAAATTAGTTTTTATTTTTATTTTTGGCGCTCTTTTTCTGAGGAAAGGGTTTAGGTTTCTCGAGAGAAGAGAGCGATGAACTTTGATCGACAAGGAGTATATATATGTATGTATGTATGTATTTTTTTTAAAGATAATGATTATTGAATTTATAATTTACATATTTAATACCAAATTATCCAAAATATACTGTAGATGAAAGAGAGCAAATTTTGAAATGGCAAAATTGAATAAAATAAAATAAAGTATCGAGAAGCAATATCTTGATTATTAAACTCAATTATTCAATTTATTTTACATAATTCTAAAAAATGGACTTTTTTCACATTATATTAGGTCCCATCTTAAGAAAGATATTTCACTTAAAAAAAATTTACAAAAAATATTAAAAAATTATAGTTAAGAGAAATGTTGTAATTAACTTAAAAACAATATTAGAAAAAAAATCTTATATTTCATTTTCTCCGCTACAATTTATAATATACTTTTTCAAAAGTAGCTTTAAATTTCATTTAGGACAACTTACTTTTCAAATCGTATTCATAGTTTATATTTATATTTAGTCACTGCTTTCAAAAAAAAATTATCTTAAGAAGTTATTTTTTACAATAACTTAAAAAAAAACTCTTCGCAAAACTTTACAATCAACTTTATAAAAAATTGTAACCATCCCAAATGAATCCTAAAACAAATTTTAAGAAAAACATGAACAAAATTGTAATTTTTTTTTCATTCCAGCACAGCTATATATTTTTAGTTGATTTTCTGCCACAAAAAACAGCAAAGAAATATCAAAAACTAAAATATGCTTTAAATAATTAAAAAAAAACTAAAATACAAGTGGTGACATGAATGAAATAAAAATAAAGCTAAACTAATACATTATTGCCATCAACGGCGACAAAATGCACAACGCTGGACTGTGCCGCTCCAATGCCTTCATTGCAGGCTGATCTATTGAGTTCAGACCACATACAAATTTCACCAATTACAGAGACCAATCAAAAGAAAAGCACAGCAAAACTACAAAGCAACAAAAAGCCTATCCAAGATGAAGAAAACGATAATAGATAAAAATCTATATAACTGAACAAAGCAGTACGCATTCTAAAGCAAAATACAAGAAGAGTATAAAAGGAATTGGACCAAAAAATTTTGATTTTTCCTCAAAGAAGGCGCTGAGTGTTTGAAGAAACTGCTTCTGCTGCTGCTAATTCCGGCAGCTGAGGAGAACGACAGACTTGAATGAAGCAGCAGCGCAGTCGTTTGTTGCTTTGTCTATTGACGGATGGCTCTAAAGAAACCAATATCTACTGAATGATGCAGAAGCAGTTTTTACGCCTTTCATTCTCGCACTCGCAATCCGACGCATCGTCATCGCTGTAATATCAAAATGATGTGAAATGAGGAATTCTGTAGCATAAGCAGATGAAATAATATAAGCATTAACATTGGCTGTTTGGCTGCAAAATTTAGCATAAACCGGGGCAATGGCGGATCCAATATAAGCCCAGGGGGCAATTGCCCGCCCCCCTCAAAAAATAAAAAAATAAAAATTTATTATATGATTCTTTAAGTAATTTGTCTCCCTTCATCTGTTTTTTAGTCTTTATAACAAGAGTTTTTAGGCAATTGCCCCCCTAAAAGTTTTAAAATACTATGGTCTTTAGGCAATTGTTCCAACATAATTAAACTCATTATATAGAGATGTTATTGTTAGGGAACGATGAACCAAATACAAAGAGAAATAGTAAAGAAAATAAAAATATCCTTACAACCCCGCAAGGAGGCACTTGCCCCTTTAGACCCCCGACATATCTACGAAGCGTACAACGATCAAGAATATGAACAAATAGGGGTCAAGAGGCAGTATCCCCAGAACAAATTTTGGTCGTAAAGATATTTATGGAAAAAAAATTTCTACACATTTACTTATAAGTTTGCCCCCTGAAAATTAAGGATGGTTCCGCCCCTGAATCGGGGCTTTAAGTATTTTGAGCCACATAAACCCTACAACTTTCCTAGGTCATGTTATCCTCTTGTTTTAGGCTAATCTTGGATTTAGTGAACCCTTAGGGAAGTAGCATTTGGGAGGTTCACACTTCACACCACTTCTCAATGTTCTGTTTCTTATACTTTCTTCTCCTTCAGTTGAATCCTAAATCTTGAAAATATTTGTCAAGCAATTTAATAGGCTTTAACATACTTTAGCATCTATTATGTTAAAATAATTTTCAGTATTTAATGCCTCCAGGGTTTGCTGAATCTGGATTACCAAAATTAATAAAGTGGAGTGATTATGGCACTAAAGTGTGCAACCAAAAGACTGCTGCAGGCCACTAACTAATAGCTTCGTCTCAAATGGTGGGCTCCCATGGAAGCAACTATTAATTAGCTCAATAGATCAGCATTCTCTGCACGATTAGGCAAATGCCTGCTTTATTTATAATATCATAAGTATAAGATGGAGTGACCGCAAGGCGCACACATATCTCACCAATTGGCATCACCATTGGGCCCATATGACCAAAAGCTTATAGATAGGAGGCATCCATTAATTCAGAAGTTCATGAAAACAGGTAAGAGTCACTTATAGTATATTAGGAACTCAATTGTTGTATCACTTTCTATGTGGAACTATCTCCACTCTCAAGGTAATCTTCACAATCCCTCTTGAGGGTGATTAACAAACAACTTCCTAACAATGGCAGGGCTCTCGTGAAGGTGATCAATGGTTGCTTTCAGCTGTGTGTTAGGTCGGTTCATCTTGAATCGGCCAAGCCAGCCCAGAGGCCGACTCAAGTATACAAGAGGCGAAACATGTCCACCTCCTTGGGAGCTTGCCGCCCACATTAGTGGGCCCCATTTGGAGTAATTTGTGGAGAGAGGATTGGGCGGCAAGGGTGAGAGGAAAATTTTGAATTAGGGATGTTTGAATTATGGAATTATTGTATTAATAGTATGGCTTGTTTAGGGTTAGGGTTATGCATGATTATTGGGTTCTTTAGAGTTTTCTCTTGGTGTCTTGGGCTCTAGAACTTCTTCTAGAGATTGGAAGAGAACGATCAACTTCTCGAATTGAGGATCAATTGTATCTTGCTTTGTGTTTGTCTTGCTTTGGATTTCTCTAATACAATCCAGTGATTTTGGGTTGATTTCATCACGTTCTTGTGTGTTTTCTCGCAGTTTTTATCAATTGTTGCTAGAATTGCTTGCAAACTCAAGTATTTCATTTTGGATTACTTGTGAACTCAAGTATTTCCTATCACTGTGAATCTGCTCTCTAAACGATCTATTAACATGCAGCTTCATTTGAAATTTCATGTCGCATGACATAAATTGAGCTATACTCCTGCATAGCTCAATGATCTACTTAGCAAGCGTATGGCTTTGGCTTTATGTTCTGAGTTTCCCACAATTTAAAACTGTCATGCGAGATGCAATAAAAAATGAAACGAGCTCCAATCCAACAAAAATAATTATGGCACTTCTCCAAGCACAAAGATACCAAACAGTTCAAAAACTTATGGAACCATTATAAATACCAGACGATAATTATATTCTTCTAAAATTTTCATTAATTTTATACCAAGGATCAGGTGTACCTGCATTCAAACTCCCTTATCTGAAAAAGATCTCTTCCACTTGCATCTGTCCACTGCACCTTTCGCCGCACAGTGATACCAGATATGGACTCTGCTTCAGTTGATTCATTGGCAATCCTAGCTACTACAGAATGCTTTTCTGAAGGCCTTTTCAGATTGCTCTTTAGACATGATTTCCTTTCACTCTCGTTAACACTATCATCACTAGAAGTATTGGCATTCTTGTCAGAAGCCAATGGTGAATTTGAATTTTCATGCTGCTTAACTGGACCAACTTTAGGAGGAAATGAACTATCAGCTTCAGCAGATGCGCGACCAAAGCAGATAAAGGAAGCGCATCCGTGGGCTACTCTACTTGTTCTGGAAGCCAGCTGAAAATCTTGGATAGCTTCCTGTTCAACCAGCTGATACTGACAACAAGGTGTGATTTTCATAGGTTTTTCTTCGTTTCTCTGGCCCAGGAGCAGTAGTGCAAGACCCTTGCTATACCCTTTTGCAGATGAAGAGAAAAATCCTCCTCCTTCCACAGCAAATAGCATTGCATATGGTCATCCGTGCCGCATAAACAAACCGCTACATTGCCTGGCCGAATTAGAATAAGCCTACTGTGTTCTTCAATCTTAGCTCCCTAGTCAACCTATGAAAAAAATGATCAAGATATCAACAAGAACACATAAAAAGGGATTTTTTTTACTAATCATTATGGTTCATAAATAATACAAAAAATTGATGATAATATTCACAATCAATTTCAATGCATTTCTTTGCATGTTTGTGTTCGATAAATCTTATACTTGATATATTAAACTCTATTCTAGTTTCTTTTTTAAGAAATTGCAGGGTATAACCGCATTTTGCTTTGAACTTTATCTAGGGAGAAAGAAGCCATCTTAGAACAATTTTAAATGAGTGCAATACAAGAATTGTTTGATTAGTCATATATCTCATTAATCTGAAAGCAAATCTAACAATTTTATAATACATCCTGGCCAATTTTTGGTTGATCCAATATCTATATTCATGTCCAACAGAAAATAAACTCTTGAAATTTAGAAATATTGCATGCCGTGGAACCCTCCTTTTACTCAGAACATAACAGATTATATAGCTATTCTAAGATCGAACAATCCTAACAGATCCTCAAATCAGAAAAAAAAAAAAAAACAAAATTATAGAAACATGATCCAGATAATTCCATGCAAAAGTTTTCAACAAAAGCGCTCGCAAAAATTCAATCTTGTAATTGCAATCTTAAACTATTCCATCATGCCATTAGCCAAATTTCACAAAACTAAACCAATTCAAAGCTGAATTTTCTGCCAAAAAAGAGGGCAAATCTGAATTAAATATAAAGGATTCAGAGCTCCCCATTCTGGCTCCTCCTCCCTTTTTATTATGCCCTTACCAACAATCTAACTTGAGCATATTTCAAATATATTTGTACAAGCAATGGAAAAAAAAAAGATAGAATTTTTTTAACCTAGAGATTCGCAGTGCAAGCGACATTCTTAAAGAATGAAAATTAAATAAACCAACAATAAAAGCGATCGATGATCGGCTTCCACATCACAATATATCCAAAACTCCCAATTTCAAAAATACAGTAAAGATCTGAGTAAAAAATAAGTGAGAAAATCGCAAAGGGATCCTGATTCCCAACCTAGAAGAATACTTCTGGACTAAATAACAATACAAGATTGAATTGAACATCAATCCCCACTCTTTTTTATGCCGTCGATTCCAAGATCTGCCGCTCTACACCGAATTCAATGCCCGGCCAAGCAGGAAGAAGATGGCGACAAAGCTGAGGAGAGATAAAAGAGGCACATTTTATTACTGGGAGTCTGGGAGAGCAATAAAGAATTACGCCAGCGACAAATACAAAAATAATTTGTTTAGAATAAAAGCTATACTAATTGATAAGTATTAATAAAATGGATAAATTTTTATTACATTCAAAATAATTTTAACAATAATTCAACAAAAATAATAACAAATAAAAAATAGCTATAAAATAATAAATATTCAAAGCTCAATAGAAATCTAACAAAGAATAGTAGCTTAAGCTTAAATAATTATTTAATAAAAATAACTAAGGCTGAAAGATGTGCTCTTGCAGTGACAACTCACCAAATAATTTGTTAAATGAAAGCTCCATTAAAAATGAATTTTATATTTAAAATAACCAAATAATTCATATCTTAAAACATAAATAGTGAGAATATCAATATAATGATGTCATTATATAATCATACTATACTAATATTACATAAGAAAATAGTGATAATATGCATGAGAATATTTTTTATTGAATCATTTTAAATTAAAGAATTATTGAAGCAATTACATATGATAAATTTATCTACGCACGTGTCATCTTATTATGAATTTTAAATAAAACGTATAAAAATATACCATAATAATTGAACATGAAAGGCATGATTGACAATCTACTAAATATCTAAGAGATTTACTGTAAAACTCTTACTCTTGTAGAACTCAATTTCAACATTGCATGTAATAGATGTATTATGCAAACGTTATAATCACTATTGAAAATACCCTTTAACAAACTTTAGAGCCCCTTTAAAGACCTTTAGAGCCCCTTTAAAGAGTGCTTCTCAAGCAAATCCTATGATTTTGCAGTAATTCCTTTGTGATTTGAATGACATTAACAAAATGTAAGATGAGCGGTGTCTTATGGATAATAAAGCATGTCTCCTCTCTTTTAGTTGATAAGAATTTGTTATTGATCAATGTCATAAATGTTAAGGTTCGTCTACGTAAGTGCAGACCGATGTCATAACTAGCTTCATATACGGTAGCTCGGATTAATTTGGGTGATGTTGATAATAAAAAGTGATCTTGATTGAGATAAAAGTAAGAAATTTTATCAGGGTTTTATCTAAGGATGTAAAGAACTCATTACAACCGAGGTTATTAACTCAAAACCAATTGAGAGAGATTATATATAATTAAAATATATGAAAGCAGTGTGATAGATCATAGGGTTTCAAATGATTTGGTAATCTTAACCTACATTTACTATTAATAAGAAACCAACAAGTCTATTTGTTGTTATCACATTTGGTGTTATAAGGATATTTGCTATTGCATAGTTAAAATAGAAGGAAATCAATAAAGAGAGCAATGTTCCAAATTTACTCAAAATTATTTATTGGAATTTCTAGTGAGTCAGGCAACTTTTTGTGCTCTTTTGTTTTTTTTTTTTGATGGCATGTTGTCATTAATGACGATCAACATTATGTAAGTATTTACCTTGGAACTTATTAAATTAAAACGATAAGGCTCTTACAGTTTGACATTATACACCTTAGTCAATCATGATGTTATGGCAATTAAAAATAGTATCATTGTTTTGTTTGTGCGACAATAAAAGTCTTCGAGTCTTAATCATCAATTAACAATACCGAGGTTCTTGAAGTTCAGTTGTACGCGAGTTGCTCAAATAGGGTATTATTATCATTAGTGTGTTAGTGGCCTCCTTAATTTTTTTGTATTATGTATATAGTACGTTTGATTAAAGACCTATAAAATATGAGTAGAACCAAATCAAAATCAAGAGGATTTAGAACAAGAAAAGTTTTTTTATAAAGATGTGAAAGAATTCCTTAAGCCGTGATAATTTTATGAGAAGAAATCCTAGAGGTCTAAGAATTTTTCATGATAATTCCAAAGGCTTGATAATGACACTAATCTCATGCCAAGTGTAAGGCCAAGATGTAGTCATTAAAATACAAGAAAATTGAAGAGTACAAAGTCTATGAATTGACAAATAAAAATAAAAAAATCTTTAGATTTAATGTTGATTTTGAGGTGCAAACAAAATTGTTACGTGTTATGGATATTTTGCTCTAAGAATAACATAAAAATTTGAGTTCCTCACTTAAATAAGTTTGTTGTTATCATCTAAATTTTATTTTTTAATTATATGAATGACAAAGATGATATAAATTTTTAATTATCAACATTAAAGAGCTACATGTTTGCCACAACATTTATTGGAATTTATTTCCAAATTTTAGATAAGGGTAATTGCATAAAATTTAACTATTTATAAAATAAACATTATATATCTTATATTTTTTGTTCAAATTATCACTCAAACATAAAATTTCATAAAAAATATCACATTTCAGCTTTCCAATAATTTGATATTGATATATGCAACTACACGAATTTAATATTAAATAAATAAATTGGATGTTAACCTTATAAATAGATAAATTTTAAAGTTATACATATAATTTTCCTTAATTAAATGAGTTAAACTGATAAAGACAAATTAAATGATCATACTGATTATATTTATAAATATCTATTAAATTAATTACATAATTTACTAATATAGCTATACTGACTCATAAAATAAAAAAATGATATTTATATACAAAGATTCGGCACCCTTACTACAATTAGAAGGAAAAAACCGATCCACAATAAATACACAAGCACAATCCCCAAGGAGGGGGGTAGAAACATCAGGAAATACAGTTTCACCATCATTAACATCTATATTAGAATAAGAAGGAATGAAAGAACAAGCTGCCACATTAAATAAGAAATTGTTCTGAACATAAACCTCAACAACATCCTCATTAATACCACAGGAAAGAGCTTCACAAGCTGCAAATTTATCAACATTATTGCCACAGGAATGAGCTAATGACAAGGTTTAATTATCACCCATAAATAAATTTAATATAAAAAAATATCACTCATATATTTAATTCCTACCACTCATATCACCCTATAAATTTTAATATTTTTTTCATTAGATCGAATTTTGACTACAGAAAATTAGGGGTGTCAATTCGGGTCAACTCGTCGGGTTCGGTTGAACCCGACCAGACCCGGATCTAAATGGGTCAACCCGAACTCGACCCATTTATGCAAACGGGTCGGACATTTCAACCCGGACTCGACCCGGCCTGGTTGCCGAGTTGACCCGACCCGACCTGCGACCTGGCAGTGGGCGACGCGCAAGGGTTTGGCAGCGGGTTCGGCAGTTGCGACGGCGCGGACGCAACAGTGAGGCAGCGCCGACTGCGCGGGCGCGGCAGCGGCGTGACATGGAAATTAGGTGGTGTCAATTCGAGTCAACCCGTCGGGTTTGGGTCGAACCCGACCAGACCGCGGATCTAAATGGGTCAACCCGAACCCGACCCGTTTTTGCAAACGGGTCGGACACTTCAACCTGGACCCGAACCGCGACCCCCGCAGTGGGCGACGTGCGAGGGTTTGGCAGCGGGTTTGAGCCGTTCAGGCAGTGGTGACGGCGCGGGCGTCAACATCCGCGCGGCGCGGCGCGGCTGCGGCTAGTGGCAGCAGCGCGACATGCAGGTTCGGCATGCGCGGGGCAGCGTGGGGCAGGTGGGCTGGGGCAGCCGGGCACGCGGGCGGAGGGCAGCGGTTGGGAGAGCGGGAAATTCAAAATTTTTTAAAATAAACGGGTTTTCGGGTTGACCCGGCAACCCGCCGGAGTCAACCCGAAACGAAACCCGACCCGTTTATCAAACGGGTAACTCGGGTCCAACCCGAATTTTTGGGTCTTGTCAAATATTGACACCCCTACAAAAAATAGGCATAAAATAGATTTTAAAAAAAAAAAACAAATAACATGATTAAAAAGGATATATTATGTAAATCCTTCCTTTAAAAAAAAATCTCATAAAAATATCGCTAACATGATTGCATGGTGGAGATATATATGTCATAATAATAAGGTGGTCCATCACTAGTGATGGCTGATGATGACATGCGCACTTTTTCCAGCTGCAATGGATGAAGCCTTTCTCCGCATGTTGCTGTAACTATCGAGAAATGGCCCAGAGCTATATTGATGAGAGCCCTCTGCACAATAATAATAAATCACAATAACAATAGTAAATCTGCAAAAACTGTACCATTGAATCATGAAATGGTAATTCCAATTTGTTCACAGTGCCTCTGCCTCTGCCTCTCCTCTCCAACCAAGTTCAAACTCCCTCTGTGCCGACCCCACATAGTAGGACAAAGGCTCGATGTTGTTATTGATGTTTTGAACCTCGGTGCGCAGGAGCCTCCCATGTTGAGCCAACTCGTGTAAATGAGCTAAACTTGATTCACCGTTGGCTTGAACTAATGAGATAAATTAGAGCTCTTATTATTGAGTTTTGACTCACGATCATTTTCAAGTTAAGGCTGAGTTAGCTTGAATTAGTTCCGCCCCTAAGGAAGAGCTAGGCACAACCAGCCACTTCTATACTATACATGATTGCAATTGAATTTAAGAAATATAACATTCATATTATATAAAATTGAATAAAGTTAATCTTAATTCTGGAGAGGCAAAGAGGCACAACCAAGCCCACTTATGTGACCTCACACTCCAATAGTTCATCTCATGATCCTACTAATGGAGAAAAGCGATCTGCTTTTTTTCTTCTGCTGATTTGATTTCCATTTTTAAATTCCTGAACCAGAAGACCAGAATGGAGCTTCTCCTTAAGAAAGCTAGATCGCTCATCTGCTGAAAGGTGCAGCTGAATTATTCAAATATGGCCTGTTTTCAGAATATCAAGAGTGGAGCATGCCTCCTAGACCTGCATAGCTTTTTTTTTTTTTTAATTATGATTTTGTTTGGGATGGTTTTCTATTTCTTCTTAAAGCAGTTTTTTAGTATAAAAAAATTAATTTGTGTATAAAAAAGCTGCTTTAAGAAACAGTAAGAAAACCGTTCCAAATGAACCCTTTTGTTTGAATTCAATAATATTTCCAAAGCTTGGTATTACCTTGCCAAGTTAATTATGATGTGGGAACATTTAGTTGAATAATATAAGATTCAATGAGTATGAATATACATGCATGCATGCATAGATGAATCTAGTTGATTTCTAGTTAAATTTGACTAATTTTGGCCCAACCATCCTCTAGTTGAAGCAAATAATTTTAATTTTAAGGCTTCGTTTGGGATGACTTTCTTTCTGCTTCTTAAAGCAGCTTTCTAAAAAATTATCTTAAGAAGCAACAAAAAAGTTATCCCAAACGAAGCCTAAATCTATTGGATTTTATATCAACTATTGCGGAATTTTGAGCTTCAAATTGAAACTGCCAGGCCAAAGCCTAGGAGTTCATACTTTAGGCAATACCTATGCACTGAGTTTTTGGGTGTATGTATCTTAAGCAAATATGCTTTGGTTGCAATATAGGTGAAATATGTGGAGCGAAATGATCATACAATTAGTATGTTTGTCACCCATGTTGCTCACATAATCTATGGATGAAAATAAAATGTGCAATATATTCATATAAATTGTAAGGTTCACTGCATCAATTGATGCAGTCCAGTATATTAGTGGCAATAAGGCTCCCTTGTATGATCAGATAACAGGATGACAATGGCTGCGTTTGGGACGGCTTTCTTACCGCTTCTTGAAGCAGCTTTTTCGTATAAAATTTTACATTTTTGTACTAAGAAGCTGCTTTAAGAAGCAATAAGAAAGCCGTTCCAAACGAAGCCTATATAATACTAATACTTCTGAAATAAATACAGTCAATTAAATTATAAGTATAGGCAAAACAGTTAGAATATACGCAAAAGTTAGGCTTCATTTGGGACATCTTTCTTAA